AAGTGGAAGGCTTTCACTTCAGATCTCGTCGAGGCTGTGTCTCCCGTGCCAAAGACTAGAGATGTACGACGAGATAGGGACGACTGCAGATGTCAACAGCGGCAACTTGTTTACTGAGATAGATACTCGTGACAGGTTTTTATAATTTTTATAAACATTTGTCCTGTTTCAATGGAACAACATGTGTTTTCAATGTAACATATAGTTTTTCACTGATACAGACAGTTTGTGAAGAAAACATATTTGTATAGCACAGTTCATCCACAAGGTACCTCAAAGTTTGAAACAATCACACAAGGCAATACAATCACAGTGCATTAAACAGGTTTGGAGTTGGGGGGGAATTGAACCGGTTGAAATATTGATCACCTGATTTTGAACTAACAAAACTCATACAAACCCTACATGCAATTCATTTCATTTCATTTTCATCCCTTTATTTCTGAGCTGCCACCCAATTCAAAAAGCACCAGTCCCTTGCTGATCCTCCTGCAGGCGGTGGGTCCACAGGAAGACGGCTGCTCCTTCAACACAGATACCGCCTTGGAGTTTCAGCGGGGGGTTCAGGCAAAGCGGAGTCAAGTATCTTGCCCAGGGACACAATGACAGCAGACATCAGCGGAAGCAGATTACATGGGCGTAATTTGCTTCCGCTAATGTCAGGGAGGCGTCCAGGAGGCATCCGGACGCCTCCCGATTTTGGACCCGATTTACCCCTACGACAATCGTAAGAACGCTCCGAATATTGTAACAAAAAATCTGATGGATTTTCCTGCCGTGTGTCAAGACTGTGCTCGTCGCTCGGAAGGACTTCGGGACTGCTCCGATCTCAATATCGGGGATATCCAACATGTTGGATTGTTTTGGACTGATTTCTCTCTGTGTGTGGTGTCCCCCGAGGACAGACGACCGCGTTGCCATGACTGCGGCGTGTAGCCAATCAGAAGACGAGATGAGGCAGCGAGGAAACGCCGTAAAAAAACAACTCACCTCCAGATCACGATGTAGCAAGTATAGTCCATGCTCGCGTTGTCTACACTTCTTTGACCATCGCCTTTTCTTTTGATTATGTCTTTTCTCGCCACTGCATCCTCTTGGTCCGCCATGATTGTTTACTCTGAAGTCACGCTTGATCTCGAGAGATGTCGTGAGATGTCTGGTGACCTGTGAATGCTCGGGGGGAAATCGGTTCGTGTGTGATGTGTGTGGTTTGCGCGATTTTGTCGTGTGGCTGCGCACCACACACTGTATGACCAAAGTGGTTAGACACTTGATTTTTTATCTCCGTGTGTGGGGTCTCACACAGAGAAAAAAAATCGGCCAACAATTTTAAAATCGTCTCGTGTGAACCAGGCTTTAGACTGCTGCCCCCGCGACCTAGCAATGGATGAAGCGGAAGAAAATGGATGGAAATGACATGGGTCGTGGTGGGATCGAAGCCACGATCATTGGGTTCAAAGACCAATGCTCTACAGCAGTCTCCCAAAGTGGGGTCCGCGGCCCCCTGGTGGGCCGCGAGGGTACTGCAGGGGGGCCGCGGGAGGTCATAAAAAAAATAAAAAAATAATATAATTATTTAATGTTAAATTTATAATGTTTTGTTTGTAATATTAAAATATTTGTGCTACAATGTTTGTAGCAGAGGCTATTTCCCCAAAATAAAATAACCAGAAGAGCCTATTCTTAATGTTGTCTTCTTGGTTTGTGTAAGCCCTCAGTCGTACAGGGATTAGTCAAAGCAAAGGAAGGTTTCTCACCCATCATCTGTACTTCTTAGCAAGTTTTCCCGACGTTTCGTCCTCAACCTGGGGACTTCTTCAGGGAAATGAAGAAGTCCCCAGGTTGAGGACGAAACGTCGGGAAAACTTGCTAAGAAGTACAGATGATGGGTGAGAAACCTTCCTTTGCGTCTTCTTGGTTATTATTTTGGGGGGCCATGCAGACCCGTCAGATTTTTAAGGGGGCCTCGGTGTTACTGAGTTTGGGAATGGCTGCTCTACAGACTTATATGCAGATTATGGATACATAATTAACAAATGCATTCAAACGGATTTATTCTGTTGAAATATTGGCGGCCACATAATATTAAACAGTAAACCATATTGAATCCATTATTTTCATCATATTCCTCTGAACACAGGGAGATGCATTCTCTCTGACGCTGACTTGAATAATGCTCATAATGCGTCCATAAATCATTGCAACAAATAGCTGATCTGTTTTCCAATCCTACAGCACATTTAACTTGCACTGAGCCTTGTGCAGCATTTGTTCCCTTTTGTCAGTGGGGAGAAAAAAGGCCTCCGATAAAATTCATCAATGATTTTAACCAACAGCCCTGAATGCTGCACGCGTTGATGCAAGCCGATGTGTTTATTGATTGATAAACGAAGCGAGGGTCTCATTTCGCAGATATACTGTCTCTGCCTGCAGTCGTGGGGCCCTCTTTTCCTCTGGGACTAATGCGTTTCACTTGAGCTGATCCAATACCTTCTCCATTGTTTTTATGTACTGCTGTTTAGCGCTCCCCCAGCACCGCACTGACTACCTGTCCATTGAGACGACTATAAACATAAATCACACTTGTTAGGGCCGATCCCGCGCAGGGGAAAATGCTGAATAAAAGACCACTCAAGTGTTTTTGGCTGTTGGGGAAGATGGATGCGAGTTCAGGACATTATTGGTGTCATTAAAGACCAGATGAAAGCTTGTCGGTGTAGCTCTGGATTCATAGCATCACGTTAGGTTTTATCTGAGAATAGTTAAATGTCCTCAACTTGTAGCATGGAAGAAAAGAACTTCACAAGGCCTTTTACGGCTTATTTTCTGCTTGTTATATAAGTGCAACATTCATCTGCATATGGAAAGGACTGCGTTGTCGAGACCTTGGCTGTATGAAAGATGGATCATATAACTTTCAAACCCCAGTGTGTGTGTGTGTGTGTGTGGGGGGGGGGGGTTATATAAGTGTACGCTTTCCCATCAACACAACGACCTCAGACTTCAGTGGTAGTTGGTGGAGAAGGTCTCACGTTGAGCTCAAACCCACAACCATCAGGCTCAAAGGCCAATGCTCTACCAACCGAACCGCTGTCACATAAGGCCTGTTAACTGGCACCAGTGTCTAAGATAGTACCAGGGACGCCCAGGAGAGAATCATACTGCCCTACAAAGGACAGTACAGTGCAAGTGTGAAAATGGTCTCTAAAGTGACACAATGACATTATACAAGTTTGTGTCTCAATTATCATCATTAATTAGTCAAATCTAAAGTTTGATCAAAACTTCAACTTCTTCTGCTGTAATATTTGCCTAACCAGCCAGGCCCCATGTTCATTCTAAACTCTGCTCAACTGAAGAACGATCCCAGGGAAAGATGTCTTACAACCAACAGTGATTTTCTTATTTTTTATGTTGTTTTAGTTTCACAATGTCACTGTTTAATGCACCATAAGTATCTTTCAGATTTCTACCGATCCTTCCACATTTCTCACCTAAACCAGTCCAGATTCCGAGCCTCCTCCACTCTCTCATTTGTCCTTTTGTTGCACTTCACTTGGCTCAATAATTAGCCTTCTCCTGTTCTGTCACTAGTGTTTAAACCTCTCTCTCTCCCTATAACTTCCATTGTCTCTCGCCCAGCCCAATATAGTGGCTCAACACACCCTCTCTCACCTCTTATTTACAAGATTCATGTTTGTCTAATGCTAAATCAATAGCTCGGCAGTGCGGAGAAGTTAGGGCCGGGCAAACAGTCACTGGAAGATACTTAACAGCCGATCTACGGGTGCTTTAGAGGCTCATAAAAGAGAAGGATCACAAAAGCAGAGACGAAACACATGCACTGTTTGATACACGGTGCATAATTATTATCACAAGCCTTTATTAGCATGCTAGTGGGTTAGGAATTTGAGTCGATTGATAAATGACGAGCAGAGAATTATCCAGTTGTATTCAACATTATTATTTATAATACTAATACAAAGCATTACAATTGGTTTTGTTATTTTTGAGATCAAATTAGTCCACAGCATATACTTTCTTTTCTCTATTAGGTACTGTATACTTAAGAGCCCTGTGAGAGTCACTATTTGACTCTTTGAGTGAGAACTGTTTGGCTACAATAACTAATGATCTAAAGATGTGATAGAGTTTGTTTCCACCAAAAGTGTTTGTGAATACAAAATATGGATTTTAATACCTCACTCTACTTACAATCTGCATATGTCACTGTTTGATGCTTTGTGCTGAGAGCTGATTGGTCGAGTGAGGGTGGTCTTTTTCACTTTTCTGTCTGAAAAACAGGACCCCGCTTCCATCGCTGCGTGGATTGCACGCAATAGTTGTAAATAAATATCAAATACATCATTCAAGTATTGCGGTTTGAAAGTTAAGAATCAAAATCATTAAAGGACGTAGTCAAAGTCTGTCTCACGATATCTATTACTTTTTTTAATTGATAGTTTTAAATGTTTTTTCTATCCTTTAACCTGACTGTTCCTAACCCACATTACGTTGCATTATGAATAAACCATTACAAGTACTACTTATACTGCAGCATATAGCCTCCACAGTGTAGGGCCATTCATCAGTAACATTTTGAAATCTGACACTATAGGGCTGCCCAGCACTATTAAACTTTAATAGACTAATTGACCAACTATGATGCAGCTTAAATTGAGTCGCTTCATCATACCGAGGCCGCTGCGAGACAACCATGTAATGTAATGTACCCACTCCGTCCTGCCCACCGCACCTCGCACACCTTATTTCCTGCTCCCCTGCACTTTGAATAGATCAGCACTTCGGACTATTGCTCCGCTGGCTCTCGCTTGGGCCCTAAAAATTCACTTTTCCCCACCAGTAAGCACTATCTTCTTCCCCGCGACCCCTTACACAAAGACCTTGCCATCTGTCAATGTCGCTTTGCGCAAAACGGCCACAATTAATCGGAAAACAATGTCGGGGGCCAAGTGGAGGGAGGGTCAAAGCAATATGCATCAGGGCGCCTTGGGGGTCACCTGCTCATTTCCTCGTTTGTCGGGAGGTTGCTCTTGACGTCCGCGGAGGGGTGAGTGCGCCGAGGCGGGCTGGGTTAGCTCGCCGGGCTTATCAGGAGGACAGATGCGGTAGCTGCACTCTATCTGTCCGTGTCTGTGTCGGTGTAACGCAGTGATAATCGATGGTGAGGAGCAGGGGGTCTCGGGGGATTTGGCCTCTGCGCTGTGTAAAAACTCCAGAAGGAAATACAGCCACAAGAATGAAGGTGATGGACGGTGATGGATACAAGGCGAGGCGTCAGCACCGGGGTCTGTTTAAAGGGGAGAGAACAAGTGACTTATTTGAGCTTTTGAGTGTGTTTAAACATTGTTCCCTCATCTAATACAGACCTGGCTTTGTTTTTGTCCATCCACGCTAACATTCAGTTAACAATAATTTGGGCACAGATTTCCATAATCTTTTCTGTCTAAACGCACATTTTTAAAATAAGATACATTCAGATCAACCCTTGGTCCAGTGCTTACCAAAGTTTACCACACAACAAGTGAATATAAATTATTATTTTTTTTATCTTGATAACTTATTACATACCTGCAGCTTGTATGCATTTTGGTATTCAAGAAAATTATGATTATAAGAAAAAATGTAAGGTGATATTTAAGATTAGGGTGGCCCCTGGGGACTTTAATCAGAGTCTATCATGGTGGATTTGCATCTGAATATAGCAGACATTTCCAACTCCTACCGTGGAAGTGTTGATTCAATCTAGACGGTTATTTCGTCTATATGTTGTAAGTAAAGCTGGGGTACCTAATTTTCAAAGTACAATAAACAGAACTATAATAGCAAGTATTTTTTCAGTGAAAACAGAGGATTTTCCCTAAGAAGCTCATATATGACATTTTAATTTCGTAATAACTTCAAAGTAAAACAGAGATAGCGGCTTCATAACATTAGAGAAAGGATAAGAATGGTCCAAAGTGTATGTAGGAATTAAATGGAGCAATCTAATTTGCATATTATGATTTCGTATGAGTGTGGCAATCATGGATTTTCATGAAATGTATATATATATATATATATTTATTTTTACTGACAAACACAAAACACTAGAACATGAACACACAAACAGAACTCACGTTGTACCACACTCAAGGGTTTCAGGGAAATAGTAAATCAGAGTAAACACTTTATTTGGCAGGAGTTTGAATGAATTTTGACGCAATCACTCGTTTTAAACAGTACCGCATATTGTCAACATAAGTCAACCATGGCGCCTAGAGGGTTAAAATAAAGCAACGTACTCTGAGAATCGTGTCCACATGTCCAATCTCTACTAATCATTCATTGCAAAAAACACAACGCAAGTCCAGTATGTCGCTTGTAATCCAGATGAGGTCCATAATCTCCCAGTGGCCATCTCGCCACACGTCCCCGGTGGCAGTCTGCAGCCTCAGCACATCGAATCAGTGTGTTTCAGGGTTGAGTGAGCAGCTTCTCGCCCCCCGTAACCGGCTCTGACCCTGTCTATATGCGGCTGCCATTTACTTCTGCTGACACATAATGCGAGTCTCACAGCTGGTCATCTTCATGTCAAAGCCAGACGCCGCCATCATCCACGGCTGATTCACGAGAGCGCCGCGCGGCCAAGGTGAAAGAAATACGGAGAAAGCAGTTTGACGGAGAGGCGCGAGTTTGGGAGGAGCTGCTCAAAATGTAAAGCTTTTCTGGGGAGATGCTCCGAGGTTTTGGATGAAAAAGTCTATTGCTCGTCGACCTGAATCGTGCAAGTCCAAGTTTATTCTGTGGAGGATCCCTTTTGGTGTCTGTATCAAAATCTTGTCATTGGTGATGCAAAATAGACATTAGAGTTTTTGTTTTCGCTTAAATCAGTGCTTTTCATTCAATTTGACAGAAGCAGAAATAATGCAAAAATTCAAAGTTGTTTTTCATTCATAGATTCATTTTTACTCAAGACACCATTACTCCGATAATCCCTGTTTGCATACTTTCCTTTGTTTACTTTTGGGATTGATTTGTTTGTTCCTCAAAATGAACGTCAAGTTTTCAATATGTAGAAAAGATTAAAGATTCATTTATTGTCACAAAAACAAAAAAATACATGTTGAGCATCATCCTAATAGGGCGTATTTTCACCCCCTACTTTTGGTTTATAATTCAACTTGTAGATGTGTCCAGAACTACAGTTACCTTGAAACGGGACCTACTGAAAAGCTGATCTGGAAATCTGGTGTTATCCCAACATAAAAAACGCAAACAGGAGCCTTGGTCTGTGAGTACTATGGAACTAACTCGCCGTATGTCACTGTGAACTGAATAATTAGGGTCTGAAAAATTAAGAAAAGCTAAATATGGCCCATTTAAATGAATGAGGCTCGCGCAGCTAACACATGCGCAATTGCGGGTTTTTTCACATTTTCTTACCCCGCGGCCATTTTGAAAAAGTGGTGGCACATTAGTGTCAAAGATAGACGTGACTATGTCTGTTAATATTTACAGTCTATGGTTAACTGTTTGATTCTCTGATCTGTTCTGCATATCGACAACTTTGAAAGTCCTCTTGAGACGACTGCTGTTATGATTTAGGGCTGTGCAAAGATACATTTAATTGAATTGAACTCAAGTCTGCAGTTTGTAGCCAGCTTGAGCTACATCTTTAAACTTGTTGTAAACACAGCATTAGTTAAACATGTTTTTGTGTCATATCTGTGTGTAGCTGTTTGTGTCCTACAGTTATTATGAGGCAAGATTATCATTTGCATTTTATATATTGATTTTTGAAATATCTCAATCCTTTATTTGAAACATAAAATGATTGTTAAAGAAAGTTTACTTCTTGAATAGGAACCATATTCACAGACTGTCGCGTATCCCAAGGCCATTCTAAAGGAGCTAAATAATGGTCTTTTTGAAGGCCAAATCTGTCGAAATGAGTTACTGTTGCTGCATACATTAAGTCAGATTTGTATAACTTTAACGCATGTAAGTAAATACAGAGAAGCGAGACCATACACATTTTTCCCCTTTTTCTGCAATATCCTCTTGAAGTAAAGGGAACATACTTTTAACCAACTTTACTCACACACCGGTTTGTAGTTTGAAATCTTTGAGCAAAAAAAACTCTAAGGAACTATAATCTGTGTCATTTTAAACATAACTAAAAATAGTCTGGCACATCTGAAGACATCTCACCGACTGTCATGAAAGGAAAGATTTGTTCTACTGTATAATTAGCATTAAAATGATTCATCAGATCCATGTCGAGCTGCAGACAACCAGTAGTTATGTCAGCCACCGTTTCAAAAAGCTCCACTGAGGCTCCATGAATCCACATCTCCACTAAACCAGTGTCTCCTGCGCTGCCACATGCTCCAATGTGTCCTGATTTGATTATTCCGCACAAGTAAACGCAAACGTCTCCATGTTGTTGAGTTAAAAGTGCACTGATTACATTATGTCAAACGTTATTGAGACTGAACTTCAGAAAATGTTTGATGATTTCTGGAGACTCCATCACTGGCTTCTGTGAGTGTGCAGAGTGTGGTGCTCTGAGCAGCAGGAGTAGAACATTTGGGCACAGCAATGATCTTGTTTAGGAGCACAAATGCTTAGAACCGTTTTTAGAAGTCAATTATATTTTTCTGAATTTTCTGAAAAGGGTATTGCTAGCTTAAGCCGGTTTCCAGCTTGGTGGTGGACCTATATTCACCAGTGCAAGACCGGTAGGACCAGAGGAGGCTGAAATGTGTCATATGAGTTTAATAGATAGATAGATCACATCCATCCATACAAACAAACAAAATAAATAAATAATTACAAAATTCTAAAATGTAGCTATCAATAATTTCTGCTGCAATTAAATGCAACAGCACTTTACCCTGGTCCAGAGTGAAAATACTGAAAGCTTTACTAACATTTTTCAAAGAAATTAGCATTCCTCCTGTTTCCAGCGAGCACATTCAAAAGAAAAAATAATAACTTAAACCCATGTAATCTTTCAGCCTCCATGGTATGAGTGTGTGCCAATGAGCACAGGCCATTGATTTCAATGGGCAAACATCTTGGGAACTTGGGCTTGATATAGCTCCATTGCAGTTGTAAGCTGTCTCCTAAATTAAAGTAGGATATTGCTTCCCAGTTAATTGTGTTTAGTGTGTATGTAAAACTATGTATTTTGAAACGGCATGTTTTTCTGTTGTTGGAAATATACATAGATAGATAGATACTTTATTGATCCCTCATAGGAGAAATTTAGGCATCCTTCAGATCACAGCAGCAGAGGTGGAGTAGCCACTGGGTGGAGTAGGACGGGTCACAGCAGCAGAGATGGAGTAGCCGCTGGGTGGAGTAGGACGGGTCACAGCAGCAGAGATGGAGTAGCCGCTGGGTGGAGTAGGACGGGTCACAGCAGCAGAGATGGAGTAGCTGCTGGGTGGAGCAGGACGGGTCACAGCAGCAGAGATGGAGTAGCCGCTGGGTGGAGCAGGACGGGTCACAGCAGCAGAGGTGCAAATGTGCACATGTGTATACAAGTTTTAGTCACTTTGCATGCATATTTTCAACTGTCTAAATTGTTGCACATTCCAATACATACAATGCCAAAGTAAGTTTGCGTCCTTAATATATTTCAGAAAAACCTATATTAGTGCAAAACCTTGAGCTAATCTGTGGTGAGGATGGAGCCGACCTGGTGGTTCACTGCCATTCAAGCCTTTGTTTTGGTGCACTGCCATCTGTCAGATTCACCTACCCAGAGCCGATGATTGGGCGCGCTCCAGTGCTCCGCGGCCCTCACATATTTCACATGTTGGCCTGAAAAAAGACCTGTCCCCTGGGATTCTGCTTACCGCTCAGATGTGGAGCTGTTCATCAAAAGCAGATAGGCCAGTGATGGAGAGGCGGCGGGCTACCACACTCCCCGTAATGCTTTGCTGGTCACTCACTTTTGGATTCGGTTGGCAGGGATTTATTAACAATGGTAAGAAAGTCCAGGCTTCGGTTTTCTGTCTTTTGGACACAGATATTATTTAGGAAAGAATAAAGTAAAAAAATAAAAATAATTCAGTTGTATACTCACTGATTTTAAAATGGGTCAAAAAAGCTATACTCGATTTAATTTGAATGAGTTCATAAAAATGCGTATTACTGTACAAATTGTATTAAAATCTGTGATTTGATTGAACACTTGGGCTCATTGATTCAGCTTGTGTATGAATTCAGGCAGTAAAAGGTGCAGAGTAGTGCCACGCTAACTCTCCTCCAATCACAGAACGAGGAGCGCGCTGTTCCGAACAGGCCATGCCTTTATAGCGTCTACAGCGCAGGTAAACACAGAAAGTGGTTATAACTCCTCTAGCTGTAACTGCATACACAGCAACAGAGCCCAAACAACGCAAAAGTGAGGAAGAGAAGAGGGAACTAAAGCGAAAAAATTATCAATGAAGAAATCAAGCCCGGGTGAATATACGTAGCTTACATCGTATCCGCTGGAGAGACCTGCGGGAGCGGGACCGCCTCGGACTACAATTGGATGCGAAACTAGCGGTAAGCTATCCGTTGTATATTTTGTTAGCAGTGCGTTGCTTTTGTACCATTTCATCAGTGATTGTTGTACAGCTTTCAAAAAGTTGTGTTAGTGCTAATGTTTGCATAGGAATCAGATCGCTAATAAAACTAGATGGTTTCATGGGAGGAGAGCGTAGGGAAAATTTCCCCTGAATGTTTAGTTTGAAGGCTAAACATTCAAACTGGAAAAGACCTTGCAGAAATGGGTATAGCTCCTTTGACATAGCGTCAGGTTACTGTAAGTTGTTCCTGATTCAACCACTTTGGTTATAGCTGTGCTATAACGCGAAGCGTGTTTCTCGTCTGTTGTATCTGCGAAAACAGAAATCCACAGTTTGACCCTATGGCCACTTTCCGAGAGGCCAGTTCCACGTGGGCCGAGGCTGTGGGGTTAATTTTATTCCAAGCAGGTCTTATTCGTCGCTATGGTTTTTTTAAGTTTTCTGAAACTTCTGCAATTTTGTCCCAGTGCAGATCCGACATGTGGTCATTGTACGATTTGCGCCACATGATTTACAACCAGCAGATGGAGCTGAAAGCAAAGGGGAAGATACATGAGCAGTCAATGTTATTTTCTGTCTGTGGTCAGAACCCAAAGAATATTTTGTGGTCACACTGTTGTTTATTTTAATCAATGAAAGTAAAGGGACTCATGTGCTCCACCTCTGTTGCCTTTATGTTTCCTACTCCGAGCTTTTTCCACGTCCAATAATCTGAGACCTTAGTCCGTCTGTAATGGGTCAGTTTCTGTTTAGGGAGATAGTAACGTGTCCAATAAAAGCTTTCACATGGACATCTGTCTCTCCTCATCTCCAGCCCAAGGTCAGTGTCCACATGGGCCATAACTCAGGGATCAGATAATTAGGGAAAATGATGATGAAGGGGGTAATGGAGGAAGGAAAGTGCCAACGTCAGGGATTATTAGAGACACTTTGAGCAAAGACGCCCCAGAAGACAAAGGACACAAACCCCGGCAACTACAGGATGACACTGTAACTTAGTTTATTTGGAAAGTTCCCTGTATTAT